ATAAGTAGATAGTATTTCCTTAGATAGGAGCTTCGTGCTCAACTCAATATAGTATTCTTTATAATACTGTAACTGTAACGATGCCTTCTCGTCTCTCATTCTAGGGAGTAGACTCTGGGTAGCCGCGGGGTCACGTGTGATCATTTGGGTGGGCTAACTGAGTCGGAACCGAGTCGGAACTGAGTCGGATGGGTTTCGGGTACTTGAGACAATCGACTCACGGGGTTCCCCGATCATCTTTTTTGTATCCTTCGTAGTAGACCTATAGGATAGCATCTGTTTAGCCTCCGACTCGCACTCTCATATGCTATTACTGTGAGCTGGGTACCCTGTGTCCTTACAGTAACGTGTTACTTGGAAAGCCTTTGTGTCTAATCCCCTGCCTCCTCTGTCAAGTCAACCTTACACAAGAAACCTCTGTGTCTTCTATCGTTTAGAAGTCAGCATTACACCAGGCTTGGTAACTGTAGTCGACGTAAGAGAATCCCATAGAACTAGACTGGCCGGCCCGGACCGTAAAGATCGGACTGGACTGGACCGGACCGCTTATATGAGTGTTCCAGTCCTTAAATTTAAGACCGGACCGTGGTTCGGTCCTCCTTTTTTTAAAAAGCCCGGACTGAATTTCAGTCTAGTCTCTAGGGTTAAGACCGGACTGTGGTTCGGTCCTCCTTTTTTTCAAAGCCCAGACTGAACTTCAGTCCAGTCTCTAGGGTTAAGACCGGACCGTGGTTCGGTCCTCCTTTTTTTCAAAGCCCGGACTGAACTTCGGTCCAGTCTCTAGGGTTAAGACCAGACCGTGGTTCAGTCTAGGCTTTTTTACCATCCGAGCTTTTTTTTAAAAAGCCCGAACTGAAGTTTAGTATATTTAGCTTGTAGATCACGATGTTAGTCCTGTGACCAAGAGTAACGGTATATAGTAACGGTATATTGATAGAAATTAGGATAAATTTATCATATAGATAATAAATTATGGTAATTACATTAGAGTTATAAGTGCCGTATGTCTCAGAATGCATCAGCTTACAGTGGCTTCCCTACCATCACCACCACCGCCATCGCACACAGGTTTGTGTCGACTTTGGGAGGCCAGCCTTCCTACCACCTAGCGCAAAGGTTGGTATCTATCGCAGTAGTTAACATAATATATTGTTCAAGCTGGTTCCAAATGCTATATAAGGCTAATTAGTGATATATTCCGTTACTGTGAGCCGTTACTCTAACCCACATCTGAATAGTACCCTCCTCTACCTTCTAAGTCGTTGCGAATGTCGAGAAGTATCAATGGAGGCTTCATCATTCTGAAGGTCCTTATTTAGAACCCCAAAATTTCGCTTCCTCTGAGTTTCCAATCTTCCATTGCGACCTTGTGTAGCTCTATGTGGCGTTGATGGGTCTGGTAGGTCTTGTTCAGCATCCTCCTCGTCAGATGATATTACCATCGTCATAGCAACTTGTCGATCAGAGTCCTCAATTATAGAGTCTGGGTCAGGAGCGCCAAATACATGGTCTATATTATCCCAATGATTATCAAGTTCCCACTTATACCTATGATAGTGTTTAACAATCATCGACTCTCGAACTGTAGCCGTACTCATTTGTGCCCTGTGGTATTCATGGATATCGCGGGCAATATTAAATATGCGCTCAACTCCAGTACCAGTAGCTGTTTAAAGCGATTTGTAAGATATTTGCGTTACTCTTAACCGTTACTGTAGGAGCTTACCTGGTACTGCAAGGATATCCCTTGCCATCTTCGCAACTGAAGGGTAAGAGAGCTCTAAGGTCTTCCACACTAGGAGCACTGGAGTATCTGCATCAGCACTAACCACTGGCGCATTTAAATAATGCTCAGCTTCATTATAGCTGGTACTTGATGGGCTCTGCCACCCTTTATGTAGCTGCCGGTTCATCCGAAATACCGCATTAAGACTTGTTGGTGTATAGGGGCAAGGCGGTACTGCCTCATGCTGGTCCCTCGAATCTTTTTGATAGTAAGCCTTCCAGTAATCTAAGAATATTTGGCGGTACTTCTTTGAGTGGGAACAGTCCCATTCAGGAGCGTTAAAAATGTCCAGTTTCTGAGATGGATCAAGAATTGCAGCAAGAGCATACGTCTGTTCAACAGGACCACCAGTTTCAGTATAATAGTGCCTTAACTTTGCAACACCTGCAGTAATAGCAGCAGTAAACTCGTCTACCCAAGGATTAGATGCTGTATCCTTGTTATATAGCTTTTGATTAATATCATCAAGATGGTCAAATAATGTATTGTATACATTCCATGTATGGTTGATTGTAGTGTCTTTCGTGTTTCCAATAAGATGAGTAAATTCTGCAAAGGGCCGCAGAAGAGCGACTAAGTATTTTAGTTTTTTCCAGTCAGTTGGTGATAATGCGAATTGATCAAAATTCGCTTACGTGACACTTGGCAAGGCTGTGGCAGATCAGGGACTGTGGCTGAAAGAGTTGGGTGAATACGAACACGAATCGAGTATAATCCCACGAGTATATAAGGGTAGTCCTCACCAAACCTTGTTCTGGCTCAGTTATATAATGAATATAAAGGAGGATAATGTTGATGCAGCAGCTCTTCCAAACAAACCGGGTTGCATCCGTGACATAGCTTAGTTACGCTTGGCACGCGCTATCATATTTAAACACTTAGTATAACGTACATGTATAGCGAAAGCGCCAAACAAGCGAAAGCGCCAAAATGATGCGGTGACCAAACCCCCCAACTAAATGTTAAATTCCTCAACAACAAAACATGCCCCATAAAAACGATGAAAGCCAATTAGTGCTAGCTATCCAGGCTATGCAAAGCGACCCAAAGTTACGCCTTCGAGTTGCTGCTAGGATCTATTCTGTGGACCACCGCAAGCTAGGTCGTCGTCTAGATGGTGTACCTTCACGACGCGATATCCAAGCCAACTCACGGAAATTAACTAACCTAGAGGAGTCCGTCCTTGTTCAGTATATACTCGACCTAGCTGCCAAAGGGTTTCCTCCTCGGCTGTCTGTTGTTGAAGATATGGCAAGTCGACTACTTGCAACACGCGACGCATCACGCGTTGGGTCGCGTTGGGCTTCAAACTTTGTTAAGCGGCGTGTAGAGCTCCAGACACGCTTTCAGCACAAATACGACTACCAGAGGGCTAAGTGCGAAGATCCAGAAGTTATTAATGGCTGGTTTGAGCTTGTGCGTAACACAATTGCAAAATATGGTATCGATGAAGCAGATATCTACAACTTTGATGAGACTGGGTTTATGATGGGCGTTATCTCAACTGCTATGGTTGTAACAAGCTCAGACGGGTGGGCAAAAGCAAAGAAGGTACAGCCTGGTAATCGGGAATGGGTTACAGTAATCCAAGGCGTTAGTTCTCAAGGTTGGGCAGTACCACCATTTATCATTGTTGCAGGCAAAAACCACCTTACATCTTGGTATGAGAATAGTGGATTTTCAAGCGATTGGGTGATTTCTGTTACTGAAAATGGCTGGACTACAAACGAGAGAGGCATGGATTGGATTCAGCACTTTGAGAAGCATACAAAGGCCCGGAGTGTTGGTGGTTATCGCTTGTTAGTCCTTGATGGTCATGAGAGCCACCACTCAGATGAGTTTGAGGAGTACTGCAAGGAACACAACATTATTACGCTTTGTATGCCTGCTCACTCTTCTCATCTACTCCAGCCACTTGATGTTGGCTGTTTCGGCCCGTTAAAGCAGGCCTATGGTCGGCAAATTGAAGATATGATGCAGGCTCATATTTCTCATATTACAAAGGATGACTTCTTTCCTGCCTTCCACGCTGCATTTAACACTACAATGACGGAAAGTAACATTCGAGGCGGGTTCCGAGGGGCAGGGCTTCTTCCATTTGACCCTGAGAGAGTGATATCTACACTTGATCTTAAGTTAAGGACACCAACGCCTCCAAGCTCCCGCCCAGGTACTGCTCAACCTTGGGTTTCTCAGACACCAAACAACCCAATTGAAGCTATGTCACAGTCTACATTTATTAAAACTCGGATTTCACGCCATCAAAATAGCTCTCCAACCTCAATCTATGCAGCTGTTGACCAGTTTACAAAGGGTGCATCGCAAATAATGCATCAATTAGCACTGCTAAAGGGAGAGAACCAAAACCTACGACAGGCAAATGAAGTACTAAGCAAGCGCCGGAGAGCTAGGAAAACACGACTACAGCAAGGAGGATCACTTAGTCAACAAGGGGCGCAAGAGCTACAGGATGAGAGGGATGTTGTGCAGCAGGTAGAGCAGGAAATAAGGGCAAGCCGTGGTCGGAAGCCAAGGGAAGAAACCCGTGCCCGTCGCTGTGGCAAGTGTGGTGAGACTGGGCACAATGCGCGCACGTGTCAGATTGTAATAGACACCTCTGAGGAAGAGGACTCCGAGTAGTTTCAATTGATTTCTAATGTTGTGGTAGATTTATCGCAATGTTTGTCGTGAGGGTAGATAATTTTGGCGCTTTCGCTTGTTTGGCGCTTTCGCTATACATGTACGTTATAGCCTTTGACCCTTCTTCAAATCCGATTATGGAAACTCTCGCAGATGTGTATCTTTTGACAAGCATTTGGATCCAGACACAACTTGGCTGTCGGTATTCAAAAGGTAGCCAAATAATTCTTGTCCCGTCTTCTACTATCCATTTATTTGAGACGCATAGAGTATTCACCTGCCGTCCGCCTGACGAGAAGGCGGCTGCATTGATCGAGCCTACATGACACTCAAGCGTCTACAGCGCCACTACTGTGTTGGCGTCCCAGAGCCGGCCTGTGTTGTCGCAAGAGCAAGAGACAATCTGCTTGCCGTCTACTGAGAAGGCGGCTGTGTTGACGGAGCCTATATGGCCCTCGAGTGTGTGTAGCGATTTAAGTTCAGCTAACGGCGCTTCGCTGCTGTTCCTTGAGCTCTTCGTACCATGGATGCAATACTATAAATAAGGAATTCGCAAGTCTTCCAAACTCTGGTCTCAGATCTTCTCGGCAGGATGCAAAGCGATCCCATGCCAACGGCTTTTCTCAAGCTTGAGAAATTTCATTGAGAAGACACCGGAACCCTTTAGGAACTGCTTGACATTGTGTTGGCACGCTGGCGCAGGAAGTTTGGCGAAAGCCAAGCAATTTGGATCTGTGCCCCGTGGAAGTGGTGGGAATGGGAATTTGGTCATTGAGGCCTTGTCCCGAAATGCGATGTCGCATTCCATTTCCCACCTCTTATAGTCTGCTTTGAGTTTTGTTTGCCGCATCACTTCCTCCCTCCGTAGCTTGTCTTTTATAGCTTGTTCTCTTCGAGCTTGTTGTTTGGCTGCTTCTAATGTTGCTGCGTCTGCGGCTTGCTTCGCGCAGAGCTCAGCGAGACGCGCCGCATGTCGCTTTATCTCGTCGTTCCTCCGTTGTTCTTCAAATTTCCTCCTTCGACTCTCTCTATAAATCTTCCAAAGCTGAGGCAAGCCCCAATATCCCACACGCCCAATGATTTTGATGCCAATAACAACCGCTAAAACAATAATGTACCACTTAAAGATAAAGAGGAATATGGATAGAATGAAACCCAGAAAGTCTTCAATTCTTAAGGCTTGCCATACAGCGGCTATCGCTTGACCCAGCCCTCCGAGAATGTCTCGTAGCAGGCTCTTCCAGTAATCCAACTCTTTGGTGGTGAGCCTGGCCGCTAATACACCTGTAGTCGTATTGATGTAGCACTGTGAACAGGACACATCTCGATCAAGTTCGAGTCGTGGTTGAGAATTTTGCGGTGGCGGGTTGGATTCGATCTCCCGTGGTGGAATTTCAGGTGGGGTCAGCACGTCGATACCGTGTTTGTGGAAGGAGGAGTGACAGCGCTCCAGTCCACCATGCTACCGCGCGCCTAACCCATGGAAAGTTCGAGAAACCAGTTCTTACGCCACACGGATGGCAGTTTACGCCACACATGACCAGGCTTGGGTGTAGTGGCTGAGTATAAACAAGCCAGCCCCCGTGACAAAGTACTCGCATTTACCCTAACAATTTAGCCACAGCATATGAGCCACAGTCCAGGTCAGCCACAGTCCTTAGTCAACAACAAGCTTGACGTAAGCGGGAGGTATTAATCTGCGTGGCGACCATGAATAAATTTAGGCCGTACAGCCGCCACAAGGCTCATAACGATCTCCCGCATCGTAGTGGAGCCTTAAAGCTTAGATAAGACTCTTTTATAGGTAAATGGAGTGATAAGAGTTCGTGGTAATGCTGTAGCTCGAGGGGTTCTATTTAGGCTGCGCACTACTCGCCCAATACTCGGCTCACTCACTCAGTGGGTTACTCAGCTGGGTGAGTAGCTGAACCTTTCACTCGACTCGGTGAGTGAGGCCAATACTCAGTTACTCTGTAAAAACCCAGTGAGTACTCGGCTGTCACGTGTAAGATATATGCATTACGTGAACAGTCCCTCATACGATTAATACTGTTTTATGGTTACAGTTGTAAGTTAACTTAAAGTATTACATTTATCAGCATCACTCTACCATCTCTAATAAGCTGTGAGAACGAATCACGTATATTCCTCTATCTAAGTACCACGATTATCAGAAGATTATCAGAACACTATATTATATATGCTCAAGAACATCTTTCCACCTTGCTTGATGAGGCCGGCCAGACCTACTAATACCTAAAGTATTTATAGGGTCTTGACGAGTAGCTTGAAAGATATCAAGTAGATCTCTTCCAGTCTTCCGAGGGCGTTGGATAGGCGTTGGTGGCGAGGACGGCATATCCTTATCTTCATCGTCATGAATAGTTGGAAGTATAGGCTCCTCATTATTACCATCTTCTCTTATATCTTCATTATCTGGGATATCGTCATCTGGGATGTCGTATAAGGTCTCGTTAAGACGGTCAGCCCTATCTCTTTCTTCACCTTGTTGGTAGCGCATTTGTCGTTCTTCATGTGCAGCTTGTGATAAGTCTTGCTGTTGCTGTGGCCGCTGAGGATTAAACGGAGGATATTGTACCTTTGAATATGTCTCTCGGATATGTGTATTTGATTGTGGTTCTTCTTCATCGCTGATATATTGTAACTCGATAGAATTGCACATCCGTTGTCGTTGTGCCTCATACTCTTCTTCGACTTGCTCCTCAGTCATATCAACGACGTCCATCATATCTGCAAGCTTGTCACGATGACCTTGACGATTCTGGTATTGTCGAGAGTAATATATAAGCATAATACTCTTAATCGTCTCAGGATTAAGTTGACCACGTCGGTGGCCACATACGTCCCTTGCGGCACTAAAGACTCGCTCAACTCCAGACTCAGCAGCAGGAATACAAAGTATATCACGAGCCATTGCTGATAGACCAGGAAATTGCTCTTCCTTTTGTTGCCAAAATAGCAATATCTTTGTGTAGATATGTGCTATATAAGTTAGAATAAGATTATCAGAAGATTACCAGAAACTTACGAGCATCAAGATAGAGATCAGCCTCATTCACATATTCCTCTCGCTGGCCCCGAGTCCCATTTAATGTCTGACTTTGCTGCAATACTAAGGCTAATGGATCCATATCTGCATCTCATAATCCTGATTGACTCGCAACTCTCACTGTAGAGTACTGCTCTTTATAAAGAGTCCTAAACTGTTGTTCAAACTCTGTCTCTGTAAGGACACAGGGAATACGGCTCTCCGTAGGTGCATATGGGAGTGCGAGTCGGAGGTGATGCTGTATTCTATCCTATAGGTCTACTACGAAGGATACAAAAAAGATGAAGGTGTCACCCTGTATGGCTGTTCCCTTAAAATACCCGAAACCGCTCCGACTCAGCTAGCTCCCTGTTTGCCTAAGGCTTCCTTACGTTATGTGCCTAAGGCTGTCAGTCGCGACTGACCCGTAACGGCCCCGAGTCTCGATGGCGCCACGTGACGGCCGTAACTACCCCGAGTAAGGAGGCATCCTTACACTACCCCCCGCCTTGAGAAGGTGCTTTGTCCTCAAAGCACGCAAGCCGAGTAGCTGCCGCGACGAGCCCTTGTTTGGGTTGGTGGGTGAGGTGCGGGCGCCAAGACTAGAATGCCCTTTGTTTGTCCAGAAGGCTGATGGTGGGCGGCCGTATAGGCACTGGAAGTGGTCTGAATCCGTTTGCGCAAAGTCGCGTCTTTGTTGTGTGCGCGGCGATTAGTGTTGCGAGGGTCCGTATTGGTATCGAATAGGGTCCGCGCGGTATGTGTCGAGGGGGAAATTTCGCGCTAACCCGATTCGGACGGCTTTGTTATAAGCCAGAATATGAATTCGAGCTTCGCCCAGAACTTGTTGTTTTCTTCACAACAACGACGCTGAGCCCCCCTCCCGAGACTGGTAAGTGGCCCTTCCGATGGTACAGCTGGATGCTAACAGGTTGTTTTTAGATACAAAAACACAACGAACGATTTGGTAGGTGACGGAACCGCGCTGGCGCGGTGGTGATAACTTGGGTTGGGCTGACGGGAAATCGCAGATTTCCAATTTGAAGATGCCGGTTCCCCCTCCTCCCGGCGCCCTCACTGTGGCTTTCCGCCAGCAGTGTATGCGCTGCGTGCGCGCCAAAGGGCGCAAGAAGGACAGAGATCCCGCCGTCTCGTGTGTGTGGAGCTTGGAAAGCTCCAAGTGTGAGCGCTGCGTGGCCCAACACGCAACGTGTGTTCCGGTGGGTTCTCGTTTGGTTTTCGGTTTTGTGGTTTGTCTGTCTGCCCGTCGCTGACCTCTGGAGATAGATCTCCTGGTTTGCTGGCCCGGAGTACCAGAAGCTCCTGGCTACCGAGGCAGCAACCCCTCCCGTCCCCGCCGCCATCAAGGCCGCTGCGGCGGAGATTGGGCGTGTGGTCACATTGGCCACCGCCAATATGCCGAAGTTCCGCTCCCCGGCCGAGCTTTCGGCCTATATGGAGAGTTGCGCCCTCCGCGCCGCCGTCGAGGACGGTCTGGAGGTAAGTTTTCCGTTTCCCTTGTGTGTTTTTGGTTCTCGCGCTGACGACCGTAGCGGGTCCGCCAGGCCGTGGCCGTCGTGGGCCAGAAATCGGCCCTGATCCTGGTGAACCAGGAGAAGGAGATCGCTGCCCTTGATGGGGTGGCTTCTGCGGTGGATGCGGTGGGGGAGTTGGTGGAGAGGATCCCCGACGTCCTCGCCGCAGCGGCGAAGGTGGGCGGTGGTGGGGGGAAAAAGAGGAAGAGGGGGGCGGAGGTGGAGGAGGAGGGGGTGACCGTCGACCTTGGGTGATAGGCCCTGTGTCGGAGGGAACTCGGGCGTGGTCTTTCGCGTGGGGTCACTTCGACCCTTCATCTCTCATGGTGGTAGCCGCTTGTTGCGACGCCGGTGAGACGTTTGGGAAGGGTGGCTTCCGCAAGGGCTACGGCTCTGAGGGTGCCCTGGCTTAGAGGGTGTTTAGTTTAGTGTCGTAGGTAGCCACGACGCTGTTTTCCTCTGCTTTGCCGTGCCTCTCGTGATCGTAGCTTGGTTTGCCTGTCTCCCATTCCGTGATCCAGCCGGGTAGGTCCTGCGGCGGTCCTGGCAGGTTTGGGTACTCCGCGTGGAACTCCCGGATTTTGTAGGGGGAGTTCTTAAAGTTTGAGGCGGGGTACCATTCCGGGTCCGGATCGTATCCGACCCAGGATACCTGGTATTGAAGTTGTTTTCGCCGGATCCTTACGGCGAGGATCTTTTCGACCTCCCACTCCTCTAGGCCATCTACGACTTCGCTGCTTGGCTCAGGCGCTGCTTGACCGGGCAGCGGGTTATTCGGAGCCTTGATGAGTACGTCTGGAGAGAAGACATCGTGTATTTGGGAACCCTTCGGTAGGTCTAGTCGGAAGGCGTGTCCGATTTGTTCCAGTACCGTATAGGGTCCGACCCATTGTTGCCCCAGCTTACGGCTAGGGCGGTGATTTTTCAGATTCTTGGTCGATAGGTAAACCTTGTCTCCTACGTCCCAGTCAATGGCTCGTCGGCGTCGATTCGCGTATTTAGACATATCCTCTTGTGCTTTGGCCATGTTCTCCTTTGCGTAAATCCATGCGGAGTGCATGCGGTTTGCTACTGCTTTGGCTTCCTTCTGGTTCATGACTTCCCTAGGGGTCGTGGCTTTCGGGGTTTCCCAGTCCCAACTGGTGCGCGGATCAGTTCCGTACTTGAGTCGGTAGGGGGTCATTCCGATCGAGGCATGGGGAAGGGTCATTTGCACCCGATCCATGATGGGAATGAGCTCGCTCCAGTTATCCTGGTAATGTGATACGAAGGGCCTCAGTCTCTGATCGATATACCTATTCATGATTTCTGTCTGCCCGTCGGTCTGCTTGTGATAGGCTGTCGACAGCTTAATCTTGACCCCTATGATTCGGCAGAACTCTCGCCAGAAAGCTGATATGAATTGGGGTCCGCGATCACTAATGATCGACTCTGGGGTGTGTCCGAATCGATATATCCATTCGATGAATAGCTGCGCCATTTGGCGGGCATCGGTGGTCTTATGACACGGTATGGACACCGAACCCTTACCGAGTCGGTCCATGAACACAAGGATGCTGTCGAATCCGTGTTTATCCTTTGGGAATTCCTTAAAGTCCATCGTTAGGTGTTGCATGGGGTATTCGGGTACCGGTAGGGGGTGTAAGAAGCCTTGCTGCTTCGTCACGCTAGTGTGAGAAAGTCGGCACGTCACGCAGTTGCGCACATATCGGAGGCAATCCGCTTCCATTCCGACCCAATGATACTTCGGGGCGAGTAACTGATAAGTTTTCCTGCCACTAGGGTGGGCTACTGATACTTGATCGTGTGCTTCCCGTATGAGTTTCGTACATAACTCGGTGTGCCGGTTTACGCACAGTCGACCTTTGTATAGCAAGAGTTGGTCCTTCATTATAAACCCGTTAGGTAGGGGGTCTTTCACGCGAGTGTCGGTAAACGACCTCCTATTATCCGCGCAGAGCGCTTCTATCAGGTCAAAGGGGACCTGGGTGTTCGGGGCGTCCATCGCATTGATCGAGGCCACGTACGTTTGTGCTAATTCGGCACTGATTCGGGAGTGTAGTCGGGCTGGGCCTAACAGCACCCTCGCACGGCTGTCGAGTTTGACCTTCTGTTGCGTAATCAGGTCTTGCTCTCTTCGGCTCAGTATATCTGCCTTCTGATTGTTCTTGCCAGCAGTATACGCAATAGAGAAATTGAAGTCGGAGAGTAGCTCCATCCACCGAACCTGCTTCGCCGTGAGAACCTTCGTCGACATGAAGTATTCCAGCGATCGGTGATCTGTATAGACGTCGATTCGGTGGCGTACCGATGCTAATTCTGGCCTCCATTTTGCGAACGCTTTGACGATGGCGAACAGTTCCTTGTCGTGGATCTCCCAATTGATCTCATGCCCAGATAGGACGTGACTGTAGAAGCTTACAGGATACCATCGCTTGTTGGGGTGTTCCTGAGAAAGGACACCGGCTACGACTCCATCAGAAGAGTCTGTTTCCAGCTTCGTAGGCAATTCGGGGTTGAAGTGGTGGAGCGCCTGCACGGCTAAAGCTGTCGGCGCATTTCTTCAAAAGCGTTCTCACATTCGTCAGTCCACAGGAACGGTTCTGAGGGGCTGGTGATAGTGGTGAGAGGCTGGCTATTTTCCCGAAATTTCTGATAAATTGGCGGTAGAAGCCGCAGAATCCAAGGTAAGACTTCACGCCTGTGACAGTTGTTGGCCGGATCCAATTCCGGAGGGGTTCGATCTTCTCGGGATCCGCTTCGACACTGGTAGTAGTCAGGATATAGCCTAAATACTTTGTCCGGGTTACGTTGAACTCGCATTTCTTAATGTCGGCTTGTAGTCCTGCTTCTCGAAGCCGTTGGAGGACCTTATGTACGTGGTCCATGTGTTCCGCGGGGTCCTCGGAGTAGATTAGGATGTCGTCTAGGTAGGCAGTACAGAAGTCGTCCAAGTATTGCATAAGAACGTCGTTCATATACCTCTGATAGGTTGCGGGGCCGTTCGTTAGGCCAAACGGCAGCACTTTGCATTTGTAGGATCCATACCGAGTCCGGAAGGTCGTGTACTCCTCGGAGTCGGGGTCCATTCGTATACGATGGAAGGCTTGCCTAATGTCTAGCTTCGTGAAGATTTTTGCTTTCGACACCCGTCCTAGTAGTTCGTCGATACGCGGGATAGGGTAGGGGTCGTTACGGGTAAGTCCGTTCAACTTCCGGTAGTCGATACAAAATCTCAGTTTGCCATCTGCCTTCTTCACGAACAGTATAGGGGAGGCAAACGGGCTATTGCTATTGACTATAAAGCCCTTCTCGAGGTTCTCTAATAGGTATTGCTTAGTCGCCTTAAGCTCTTCGGTGCTTTGTCGGTATAGTGGCGAAAAGGCATTTGGTAAAGGGGCTTCTAGTTGTATCTTGTGATCGTATATGCGATGCGGGGGAAGCTGATCAGATTCCGACTTCGAGAAGACATCGGAATAGTTGCGGTGCATATGCGGAAGCTTGTCCCGAATGAGGCGGAGCGTTTCCTCGTCCTCGGCCGCTTCCCTCTCTCGGATGATCTGGTCGA